CCAAAAAACTTTTAATCTGTTTTATTTCATTCTCAGTAAAAGGATAGTAGGTTAGTGAGTTTTTGTTGTTCAAAATAAAAGTGATTTCGTGTTGAGTTTGATTGATTAATGAATATCTGACCTCCGTCAAGTTATTGAAAGAGTTTTGAATTATTTCAGCCGTTTTTCCGTTTCTCCACCCAAATAAACTCTTTGATATTCGAAAAGTCCCTTGATGAGGAGAATTGGAATGAAATATATTTGAGACGTCTAATACTGAATTGTTATGTGAACTCATGAAATCCAGTTTTTAGTGGTTAAATTTCTTTATTAAGAAGCAAGGCTCTGCTAGACTTCTATTTGGGATAAAAAACTAATAATCAAATAATTTTAAAAAATTATTGAATTCAACTCATTATTAGTTTAGCATTATTCCAGAACTGATCCTTTATGTTTGTATTCGTTTAATAATAATGTCCGATTCCTATTTTTCCCTTGAAAACCAGTTGTGCGTGGGATCTAAACACATTTCAAATAAAATAGCCAAAACTACTAATGATATTGAAATATTAATTAACCAAGGTTTAAACTACAACGATGTCGATAAGTTTTCAAAAAATTCAATTAACACTATTAAACAATTTTCACACCAAATAAACAGAGATATATCGATTTTGATCGTATTGTTCATATTCCAGCTCTATATCTTGCTGTGCTGACTCATTCAATCCACTTATTTTTGAAATTTCATTAGAAAAGTTTTTCAAGTTTAGGAAAACCTCTGAAGGTGGTATTTATACACTAAATCATTTCATTTGTAAATTATCTAATGAGCTATGTATAACGAACCACTGACATATGTAAGTGACACAGAATTAATATTTGCAGATTAAAGAACTATTTGAATCACGATCGTCGTCGTCCGTGTTACGTGTACTAGAAGAATTAAAAAAATTTGAAAATCGCGAAGATGAAATTCCAAGACTACTTTCAACTGAATCGGTGTCTGCAAAAATCATATCATATATTAAATGCTCAATTGTAACTGAAGCTTGGGAAAATGCCTTCAAGGCTATTAAATATTACTTTGAGTTATCCGAGGATAACGTATCAAGCTCCGTTTGGTCAATAATTGAACTTTTGTCAAACTGTGCTTTGAACCAAAATTTAGGTTATATTTGTATTATTTTTATTTGTGAACAATTCCAACGCGTTGTTCAATCGAATATGCAATATTTACAGCTAAAAGAAGTGATTCCTGTTGGAAATATTTTAAAGGATGCGGTTTTAAATGTAAACAAGTTTTTTGACAACACTTACGAAGATTTAGCTATGAACGCTATTATAACGGTTCGTTTACTGCTTGATTTATTGTTATCTTGGGTAACAGTGAATGACTTGTTTTACTGCAATAATTTAATTTATGACGAAAAATTTACGAAAATGTTATTTTCGTACATTATTGAACCTTGCGATATTGAACTATGCATTTTAGCAACAAAAATCGTTCGTGTGTTAAATGAAAAAGAAACAAAGCAAAACCGTGCTTTAGATCATGTTAAAACGCGAGTACATAAACTATTGACGAGCCAATACGATGATGAAACGGATGAGTTTTTATTATCATGTTTGTTTGATCTCGAGAAACATTTAGTTGAGTATGAATTTCATCGATTTTTTTTATCAAAAAAACAAATTGGTCAGGTTTATTCGAAAACAGAAGTAGAAATCGAGATTTTACAACTCCTTAATGAAAAACAAAACAGCTGTTTCGTGTTCGACGCTGTTGTGTTCATCATGCCTTTAAGTGTTTTGATATTTCAGGCAGACAAAAAAGATTCTTCAAAATTTGAATTTATGCTAGAAATATTCTTTAATCAAGCAGACGAGTTAGAGATTATTGATAACTCAGTTGAATGCAAGTTCAAACTAAATTTATTAAAGTCTAGTATTTTGCAGAAATTTAATGTGAAAGACCTTTCTCAAGCTAGTTTCGTAATTATTAAAATGACGTATGACCGTGCAGAGTGTCTTTCCGGAATTTTGCCACGTCCAGGTAAATTTAATTTTAAACCGGAATCTCCAGCAATATTAAACACCGAAACGTGCAAATTAAACGAAAAGCCGGAAGTTATTGAAATTTCACATTGTGACGACATGATGTTTAATCGAATTTGTACCTGTGACGACGACAACACGCCGATTGTTTCAAACCCATCAGACTTTGCTACTATTCATCCATTTAAAAACAAGCAAGCGTGTAGATCTGTAGCAACTACTGTAAACAAACGTCAATATCAGCCCGAAACTTTTAAAAGAATTCCGCAAGATAGTTTCGGCGTGAAAAACACTTCAAAGTTTTGTTCGACGCCTAGTGTGGACGAACTCATTTCCACTGACGAATTTTTAAGCAGAGGGAATTATTCTCAGTCGGTCACTCCAATTTTCGGTTATTTAGAAAACAGACAAATGTTCAGTTATTTCAAAAACTCAAACAGAAATTCGAATTCGCTCATAACTGAGTCTGTAGTGAACATCGGTTACGATTTCAAAGATTCTTATTCGTTGTTTACCGATAGCGAGGCCAACTGTAGTTTGGACACTAGTTCCGAGTTGGACAGTTTTAAGAACCTTTTGTCTAGCACAACACCATCCATAAAAAACGAAGAAAATACTATAAATAAAAAACGTTATTCAGTCAACTTAATGTTGGAAAAACTACGACGCGATACGTTAACGGGCTACACTAAAGTACGACGACTCAATAATCTGGCGGAACAAACCTACGAATCGGTTTATGGAAAAATCCGATCGAAACTAAACGACTTGTACGAGTTTTTGGAGTCTCGCATTAAACCGAAATGAACATTGTCACTATGATTGAACTTATCGCCTCGTAAATTTCTTTTATTAGCGCAGGTTCGTTTCGCACTTCGTGCTAATAATTTTAATCAAGAATTTAATTAAAAACACCGAATAAACAAAATTTTATTTTAGGATATTAAATTTATGAGATACTTGTTGCTGATACAGTACACATCTGAACCTGACACTCGATGCTGGGAAATGCATGAAAACATCAAGAGTTTAGAGTCAAGTATGTTTTGATTCGTTGGCTAGTGGTCAATGTCTGGTATATCTAACCATTAACGATTTATTTTAGGTCTCGAATCGCTGTGTTTGCAGTACTACAAACTTAAAAATCAAAAAATCTCTTACCTAGACATTACTCACGCTAAAATCCAAAAGTTTCTGAAGGAGCTGCACAAAGTGTTCATATTAGAGTAAGTTCAACAAGCATATACAATTACCAGGTTCGACGGCAAAATTTACGTTAAACGTAGCGTAAGTTACATATTGGAAAAGGAAAAATAAATGGTGCCACATAATCACGCTTGACTACGAGCCAATGAAGCTCAGATTGCTGAGGTGATGTGAGTTTTACTAATTTTCTCGTATTTGCGTATTTTGTTCTAAAGCTTACATAAATTAAATCAAAGCGCCAGAGAAGACCAATACGACACTGGCTTGGTGCTAAGTGTTTGGTAGTTGCCTACAACGCTCCAAATATCGCTTGAAGTAAGCGGTTTTCTACTTTGGATATCCTGGAAAATCGATATTTTGTCTTTCTTATCTTTGTTTTTTTTTTTATTTGTAGATTTACTTGCGTTTTGCGAAGATTCCGGTTTTATTGAAACAGCGACCTCGTCTAAAGGCTTGTAGTCGTACACTTTCGCACTGGTCGTCTTGAGCTTGAGCGCCGTCAAGCCTTCTCGACTGACAAGCGAACTGAGCGATGAAAGTCCTGGCTGAGCTTGTGGAGCGATTGCTGCAGTTTTTTTGCCAGCGGAGGCTTCTTCTGTGCTTTCAATCAGTTTGGTTGTGGTGTTTTTATCCCAGATGGGTTTATTTTTTTCCAAATGTTCGTAAATGATATCTTCATCTTCGTCGTCGCTTCGTTCAGTAAAGGCTTGCGGGATTGCGGTAACCTTGAGATCGATGTCGGAGTTCCACTCGTCTTCAAAAGAATTAGGTTCCTTGTTTGAAACACTGGCTTTTGGAGTGGTACTGGATTCTTTCCGTTTATTTAAAAAAGCTCTTAGTTTGCTTGGCTGGCTCATTTGCTACAAAACTTTTTAGCGTGTATTATTTTTTTATTTCTAAAAAACATGAAATTTCTAGGAAATATTTTAAACTACTTGCTTTTTGTTTTGCCAAAACCACATAACAGTTTGTTTCTAAATTAGTCTACTGTTTTAACCTAGTCTGCTAGTTCTTAAATTAATTTATAACATATCTTTTTAAAAAATTTTTCGTATTTTTCAGTTGCTAAAATGTTAAATGCTGTTGATTTGGAAAGCGAAAAAAACTACGACGAACTTTGTTTGAAAATCAGGAGAAATTTGTTTGTGCAAAACGCTTACACACATAGTGTTCTTGGAAAGCAAAAGTGTATATATGCTGACTACACGGCAACTGGCTTGCCCCTAAGATGTGTTGAAAATTCGATTAGCGAAAATATTTTGCCTTATTACGGTAATACGCATTCCATCACCGAATCTTTAGCATTGGATACTGAGAACTTTATAGAGCACAGCAGACAAATCATCAAAGATCATCTACACTGTTCTAACGATGATGCTTTGATTTTCGCAGGTTCAGGTGCAACAAGCGCTTTGGAACGTTTGATTTCCATATTTCACAAGCAAACTTGGCGCTTTAGCCAGAACAACTACTCCGAAACCCGGTGGCACACTTTCGAATGCAACTCATGTGGCTTACATCTTGAAAACGAAACCACGCTGCGTAACCACTTGAATAGCTGTAATAATGATGCGAGCAATAAATCCGAAATCCAACTTGAGTTGGAAGTTAGGGACGTTTTCATTTTGATAGACATTCGAAATCACCACTCTTGCATGCTACCGTTCGTCGAGTTGAAAGACTACATAGTTTATGACGGTGTAAACGTGGCTGTTAAATTTCATTATGAATATGTGACAGTGTTTGATGAGCATAACATGTTTAACTTGAGTCAGTTAGAGCATAAACTGAAACGCATCTGTGAATCAAACTTTAACTCCAAGAAAACTATTTTAGCTGTATTTAACGCTTGTTCGAATATTACCGGAATCCATGTAGATGCGAATTATATTTCAGAACTGCTGCATAAGTACTCAGCTGTTGGCATCTGGGATTTTGCAAGCTCACTTGGGTACAATGAGATTTTTTTTTCCTATCCAGGAAAAGAACCCCTTGATGCAGTCGTCCTATCACCACACAAACTTTTAGGAGGTCCAGGGTCTTCAGGTGTCTTGATACTAAAGAAAAACCTGCTTAACAGCAAAACTGTGCCACATCCTGGTGGAGGCACTGTTAGATACGTTAATAGCGATTCTGTGCTTTACAATTTTAACTTGGAAAAACGTAATGAACCGGGAACACAAAACTTGGTTGGCTGTATTCGAGTTGGGTACGCTTTTAACGTTTTGAAACAGTTTGATTACGCGTATATAAACAAACGCAACAACTTGATCGTAGAAAGGTTTCTTTCGACCATTCTTAAGGCTGACAACATCCAAGTAATTGGATCACTCGTATTGCCTTGTGACCCTAACGGTCATGCTGTGAATTACGCTCGAAAACCTTGTTTTGGTATTTTGATTAAATACGGTAACAACTTAACTGTACACACTACCGCATCTGATTTTGTCAAAGTCAGTGGCACAAATAAAATTTACGCAAATTCCAGAGCTAAAAATGGCTTGTATCTGCATCATAATTTCGTTTCTACCTTGTTGAATGACTTCTTTGGAATCCAATCTAGAGCTGGATGTAGTTGCGCCGCTATTTGGACGCAGTATCTGCTAGGGTTTAATTACGAAAATGATCTTTCATCTGTTTTTCTTCGCTGTCTAGAAGAGTCGAACTTAGAAATTTTTCGACCAGGTTTTTGTCGTGTTTCTTTGCATTTTTCACAGAGCGACGAACAAATCGATTATATAGCTAACGCTCTGTTGTGGATTGCCGAACATGGATGGAAATTACTTTCTATATATTCGTTTTCCGTTGAACTTGGCTCGTGGTCTTGTGTGTATTTTCAGCGCAATTTGTTTTCTAAATGGCTTCCTGATGATTTTCTGTCAAACAAGACCGTTACATTTGATGAAATAAATTTAGATTCGACTATAAATTATTCTGAGCGTTTCAGTGTCTGCAACAAATTTGTTGATACATTAAAAACAAAAGAAAAACATATTGTGGGAAGCAAAACAGTTCTGATAATTCAAAATCCAAGTTTGCGAGCCACGTTAGACGACAAATTTATTAGACTTTTGTGGTTTGCTCTCCCTAGTGATTCTTATTACTCTTTGTTTATCAATAAATGGCGTGAGCCTTGTATATGTAAGAATCCCTCTTTTGGTTATTTACCGATACTTAAAAACTCACAAGACAGTTTTTGTAAAAGGCCAGAAGACTCGCCCTTCGAAGTTCTCGATTTCGGCAATGCTTTCGAGCGATCTAGTAACAGAAAGCTTGGCATGCAAGCGATCTGTCGGTTGTTGAGTGTAAAAACATCTGCAAAACCGCAAATTGATTTGCAAAAACTTGTTTACTCAAAAGACTTGTCTGCCAATGATCAAAATGAAAGCTTTTTAGAAAACTCCGTTGTTGATGGTGAAGTCTATAAAGGCTCTGCTGTAGATGAATTAAAGCCGTTTAACGACAGCATAAATGAATATTCTAAGCAAGTAACTCAGATTGATAATAAGGCATTCCAATGTCCGTTGCTAAGCGGGAAAAATGGTTCGGATCAAGTTGAAAAAGTGCCTGCCATTGCAACAAAAGTTGTGAACAATTTAAATTTTGGTTTGAACCCAATAGTAATCGACAACAAGTTAAAAAAAAAGTTTTCTAAAGCAATTTATGATTTTAAAATGGTAAAAGACGGTGACAATGTTTTAATCGGTGTTTCAGGCGGCAAAGATTCATTATCCATGTTTCACTTATGGCTTTTCTTTCAGAAGCGGTCGCGTTCCCAATTCAAGCTGGGTGTTGTCACCATTGACCCTATGATGCCTACTTACGATCCGTCTCCGTTGAAGGCTTACATTGAAAGTTTCGGCGTTCCTTACTATCACGTGAAATATCCCATTTATGAGGTTGCTAAGAGCAAAACTAAAGTCAACAAGCTCTGTTCTTTTTGTGCACGTATGAAACGCGGTTTAATTTATGATATAATGAAAAAAAAAAACTACAACATATTATCGCTAGGACAGCATAAAGACGATATAGTCGAAAGTTTTTTGATGAATTTGTTCTACAGTGGATCTCTCAATACCATGAAGGCTGCGTATGAAACTGAGTGTGTTATGTTTGACTTAGATTCTTCAGCGTCCAGAGATTGCGAGCCAGGCACTACTTATCTAGCTAAAATTGTTCGTCCGTTGGTTTATATCCGCGAAGCGGAGCTAGCAGCCTTCGCTACGAAGAATAATTTACCAATCATCACAGAAAACTGTCCTGCCTGTTTCTTGTCTCCTACTGAGCGGTTAAGAACTAAGTTGTTGATTGCAACGTTAGAACAGCATTCTGCTTCACTTGTAAGCGTCATGATGCGTGCAATCAATCCTTTAGTTAGTCTTAACTCTACAAGTAAAAAAGAAAATTATGCTGTAATAGCTGACTATAGACCGCAGTTAAAAACTAAAAAGATTTAAGGCATCAATGGCACATCGTTGAACCCTAAGTTTGTACAAATATTACATTCTTTGATGTTGTGCTTTGATGGAATTAAAAAATTTAAACAATCATTAAGAGTACAATCCTTGACGGATTTGGTTTTATAATGAGCTTTCTTGCGAAGGTATTGTCTGACTTGGGCATCGTGTAGATCTTTAGACCGCAAATGTATATCACGGGCAGAAGTCGTTTTTCCAAGTTGTTCAAAATCGCTGCTGCAATAGTCGCTAAATTCAATAGAAACATCAGACGAAATTGACGTTCCAGTGCTGGATATTACTTCTTTCTTGACACTGGAGCTGTTTTCTCCTCTAGATTTATAGCGATATTTTTTAGATTTTTTTTTGTTTTCACTGCTGCTTTCTTCCATAATGTCGATCAGTGAGTTCAGCTCGGATTCAATCGATGATGATGTATTTTCCGGAAGAGTTTGAGCTATGTCATCAGGTATCTTTGTTTTTTTATGGTTTGAAATGTCTTTCAACATCTGACTTGCGACTTCGGGGTACGCTTTTGAAAAAGCGTGAAACTGTGCCAATTGCAACATTGGAATTAGCTTGGAGGCATTCTCAAATAAAGCGTCGACTACAGCTTGTTTGGATGTTAAATCTGTGAAACTCAAATCCAGATTGCAGGTTGACGAACTGTTTTTTCCTTCCTCTGGCATTTTCTCAGGTGGGTGGTATGCAACTACATCGGTGTAACACTCTCGAGCATGTTTAGAACAATGTCTTGGCATAGATTCCTCAGATTTTGAATCTTCGAACGTGGATGTTATAGCTTTTTCATTGGTTTCTGTTGAGTTTCTATTTGGATCGTCTGCGGGATCGTTACGTGGACTTGCATTTTGAGTTCGACTTGTTGTTACGTCAGTAATGGCGTTGCCTGCAATATTTTCTTCTGGCAGTTCTGTGTCAGAGTTAAAAATTTTGATTTGTTTGTTGATAATAGAAAAAAGATTAATAAGCTTTAAAAACTTTTCTTTGTCATCTCCAACCGCCATAAGTTTATTAATTTTTTGAATGATTCTTTTGGCTGATTCGTTGCTGTCTGGTGTATTATCGAATCTTCTAGCCGCATCAGATAGATATTGATTTGAGTCTTCGGTCTGCTGACTCCTTTCAAGCAGTTGCGGATCGATCTCAGCTGCAGGTTTATCTTTTTCAATTGAAGAATCTATTTTGGTCAAACTTCGTTGTATTGCCTTGGTTTTTCTTTCTTCCGCTTGTTTTGCGTTCTTTTTTAATGAGATTTCTTCCTTGGTTGTCGCTGGCCTTGGACTTTTAATGCCAAGGGAAGCATTTCCTAGCGTATTCGTTGGCTGAGCTGGGTCAATTTGCTTGAAACTACCTTTCGACAGCTTTAACGAAATAGGTAATTCTTTTGGCATGTTAGGTTCTGATTTTGGCGGCGCAGACAAATTTGATTTTCGCGGGCTAGTAATTTGTTTTGGAGAACCCAGATTTTCTTTTTTCATGCTTTTGAGCGCTTTTAATGTTCGCGGGGAATCTTTAGCTGTTAGAGGGGCAGTTTTTGATTTGTATAAACTATTTTTCAGTTTTGTCATATCTTTGACTTTGGCAGCATTAGTATCATGATGCTCTTTGGGTGCTGAAATATCTTTACGTTTCAAGCTTTCTTTGGACTTTAAATCTTCTGTTTGTTTTGCAACATCTTTCGATTTTGGACTGTCAGGATATTTAATGTTGTCTTTACGTCTTGTAACATTTTTAAGCGTTTCTACTGGTTGTTCTTTCGATTTCTCTAAGTCAAGCGAAGATTTGGTGATTCCTATGTTTGAATTAGGTAATTTTGCAAAAGATTTGGACTGAACGGGTTTCATTTTTAAATCTTTACTTATGCTAGTTTTTGTAACCGTCTGAAAATGCTTGGATGCCAAGCCAAAACTTTTGGACATTGGTGGCTTAGTAGTTGAGCTCATCTGACCTAATATTGTTTAGGAGCAATTCTGAAAAAAACTAAGCATGTAATTTTTTGCTCACTTCCAAGCATTGTATGATCAAAAAACAGCTATTTTTGCACGGGTTCATTGAATTTAAGCGAAAATAAACCGCGAACGCGCAAAACCATAATAAATATTTAATTAGACGCTTTTGTGAAGGTATTCACAAAATGATCTTTTCAACTGTTTTAGTAGTGTGATATAGCCGTCAGTAATAAATAAAAAATAATTTTAGTTGTCAATTTTTATTTAACTGTTAATTTTTATCTCTGACCGTAACTCGTTATCACTCAAACTAAGCATTAAGTAAAATGAGAAGAACAATGGACACTAGATGTAATATTGAAATCGAGAGTCTCCAGAAAGATCCTACTGCTGGAATTCAAGTAACAGTTGATCCAGAAATTCCTAAATACCTGCACATTTGGCTCGACGGTGCGCCAGACACGCCTTACGAAGACGGTGTATTTGAGTTGGAGTGGTTTTGGCCACAGGACTACCCCTTAGTTCCTCCAAGAGTGCGTTTCTTAACTAAAATTTTTCATCCAAATATCGACAAAATGGGTCGTATTTGCCTCGACATCCTTAAAGATATGTGGTCTCCAGCGTTGCAAGTTCGCACCGTGCTTCTTAGTATCCAGGCTTTGATGTGTGAGCCTGAATTAAACGATCCTCTAGACGAAGAAATTGCCACAGTCTTCAGGACAGATCCAGCAAAAGCTGAAGCAACTGGTAAGTTAAAAAAACGGTTTACCTTTTATAGCACGTGAATGGACAAAAAATTATGCAAAACCCAAGGAAAACAAGGATAATTAGCTATATGTCGGAGTGTTTGATAAATTATTTTACAATAGTGATATTTGAATTTATTTTTTTAAGTTTCTCAGCGAGCGTAGACTCGACTTTTTTGACGCTTACGCATTTTTTGTTCTAAAATAATATAACCGGCTTACAAACTAACCTTTCGAAGCATTCTTTCAGCTTTACTAATTACGTTGACGGCTCTGCATGGTTTGTTTTTTCGTTTTGTACATTCTTTCGGCTTAGAAGACCCTTTTATAGCTTTTTGCGCCATTGTGAAATATTTGTATAGAAAATTTTGTGAAAAAATTTATTTATTTATTTCTAAAAACTTGACAAGAAAGAGACGATTTCCGAACTAGTAATATTTTTGGCGATCAATTCGAAATAATCGGGCATGAGATTTTTAAGAAGGCCTATATCAATTTCGCTGACTGTACACAAGAATGTTTTGGAGGTTTGCAAAAGGTTGTTATAAATAACACATTTCGGTTGTATTGAAATCTGCGAGGTTGGGTGAATTGTAGCTACTGAACCATCACACAGTGTTTTATATTTATTCTCTTTTATTTTGATCGCTATACGGTTGAAAAACGCGGCTACCAAACAGGTTTTGAAATTTACAAGCCGTTTTTTTTCAAACGAGTCTGGAATTTTGTAGTCAACTGTGACATCAAAGCTGAAAAATTTGTTGACTAAGAAAACCAGCTGTTTGTAGATTTTATAGGCTGAAAACAAAACGCGTTCGTTCAAACAGTTTGTGCGACACCAAGAACGTGACCTTTTGTTTTCCAAATAGGAAAAAAAAATTTTAACCAAAGCTAAATGGTCGCTTGAGTGAGACGTTAAATTGAGATTTTGTTTTGTTTTTTTCTCTGATAATGAAGGCATTGCAGTCGAAAGTAAGCTAGCTAAAGCTATGGCTTCGTTGCAAACTTTGTAATGCTCGCTTTCTAAAACTAATGCTGCTAAAGGAGGATCTAGAGGTAACTTGGCTAAATTTTTTCCGAATTCAGTAATGTTACAATCAAAATCGAGAGCGTTCAAATAGTACAACTCCTCCAAACCTCTCATCAGTGTTTCCGGAGCAGGAGCTTCTAAATAGTCAAATTCGACCAAGTTTTTGATTCCAATGTTCATCAGGTGCAAAATAATGGCCGTCAGGTTGGATCGGAGAATTTCAGGGTAAGCACATTCTTGCATTTCATGCTCAAACGAATGCTCCGTATAGAGGCGGTAACAAACGCCAGGTGACGTTCTACCAGCTCTTCCAGCTCTTTGTATTGCATTTGCACGAGAGATGGGGTGGATGTGCAAACTATCGATTCGAGTTTTTGGATCGTAAATTTTTTGTTTTGAATACCCACAGTCGACGACATATTTGATTTCGTTGATTGTAATTGAAGTTTCGGCAATATTAGTTGCAATGATGACTTTCCTGTTTGGACGCCCTTTAGAGTTCTTCGCTTGAGGACAAGGCAAAAATATTTCTTGCTGTTGTTGCGGAGAAAGCGAGCTGTAGATTACACTTATATATACAGAACCGTATTTTTCTTGGTTGAGTTGAGAAAAAATATCCTCGAGCTCGGATCTAGCTTTTTCTATCTCGTCTTCTCCCGTCAAGAAAACTAAAACAGAGCCTTCAGGTTCGTTTAAGTGAATCTTGAGGACGGTGTCTATTGTTGCTTTATAATAGTCCTTTACAGGTTTTTCCGTATAAACTAGTTTGACAGCAAAGAAACGTCCTTTAATATGAAAAACAGGAGCATTAAAATACGTCGAAAATTTGTCAATATTCATCGTTGCACTCATTACGATGACTCTGAAATCGTCGCGTCTTTTCAATAGTTCTTTCAATAATCCAAACAAAATATCTGTGTCCAATGTTCTTTCGTGAGCTTCGTCAAGAATTACAACCCCGCAGTCTTCAAGGTCTGTGTTAGTTTGAATTTCTCGCAAAAGTAATCCATCGGTGCAAAACACTATTGAAGATCTTTCAGAACAGTTCGCTTCAAATCGTACTTTGTACCCCACTTCCTGCCCTAGTTCAACGTCAAGTTCTTCAGCTACACGAGCTGCAACGGAAATAGCAGCTACTCTTCGTGGCTGCGTTACCACGATTTTTTTTCCGAATGCTAGATTTGCTTTAAGAACAAACTGCGGACACTGTGTCGTTTTTCCTGAACCTGTTTCTCCGGAAACAATCAAAGCTTTAGTCTGTGAAAGACTCTTAACAAAATCATAACGAACTTCAAAAGATTTGAGTTGTTTTCGCGATTCTAAAATTTCGTAATAATTTGCAGAAAAAGGTTGATTCGTAAGCCAGTTAGATGACTCATTATATCCGAGATTGAACTCGTTCTGGGCAGTTAAACTCTTGAACTTTTTATTCAAATGAGGTGTGGTCTCTTTGTTTCTTTTCAGACGGTCTTTCTGTACGCGAGCTGATTCTTTACATTCATCACTCATTAATTACTAGGGTTAGGATTTTTTTATTTCTTATGAAATAGGTTTTATAAATTTTTTTTTTTGCGACTATCATTTTTTTTGTTTAGACTAGCAATTCCATTTTCTGTGGTCGCTAAAATTTATTTCTTTTCATGAAAAAGAACGTGCTGCATAATGAAGACTTAATCGATGGTAATTTGTCTGATGTTAGCATAACCAGTGTCGAATCCTTCGCGTCTGATTCGGAGATCGAAGAAGAAACCAAACATGTTATATCAATTGAAGAACGCCGAATGCTTTTAGCAAAAAAATTACTTGTTCAACATGGACTAGATTCAAGTAAAGATGGCGTTGAAGCGATCAGCAAACTTTTGTCTTTGGGAATGCATCATGACATAATTATTACTAGCATATCCAATTCATTTAGCATTAACAAAAATGTGTATTTTTACTCACCATTAAAAAAAAAGGTGATCACGTCAGTCGCTTCAAATAACATTAATAAAGATTACGCTTCACAAAATTCTGACCCTGACTGTGGGTCTCGATACTACTGTTCAACTAAAAGTGGAGATGTATACTGCATCAATCCTACAAACAAGAAAGTTTTACGGTTCCCTCAGATACAAGAAAAACCAATATACGTTTTAGAGATAGCACTGAACGGAATATATTTGTTTTCCGCTGGTGCTGACGGTAACATATATGTTTGGAACGTTCAATCAGATAATTTCGTCTTGAAACATACTTTGGTTGAACATCAAAGCGACGTTTACGCACTTAAATCGATTGGAACTAAACTGTATTCGTGCGGCCGAGACGCTAAAATTGTGGTTTGGAATTTGCAAACAATGGAACTAGAGGAAATTCACTACGGACACATATCGTCAATTAACAGTTTGGATAGCTTTTCAGAAAACTTTATAGTTTCTTGTGGAGAAGATAAAACAGCTCGGTACTGGAACTTAAAACTTAAAAAACATATCATTTTGGAAGTTGAAAATTTTGTAGACTGTGTCAAGTTGATCAATAAAAAGCATTTTGTTACTGTGACAGTGGATGGCGTAGTAAAGCTGTTTTCGCTATCGGCGAAAAAATGTTTGATGCAGATACAGCTGGAAACGGTTGACGGCGAATGGGCTGTCAGCATGACAAGTGTCTTGCATACGGACGTGTTTTTTATTGGAACGAGTTGTGGAAAAATATTTGTTCTAAAGGTTCAAGCTGAACCAAACCCATTAATCGAAATTTTGGATATTCTTGCCGTCGATGGAATTGTTACTAGTATGAGTACATCTGATTGCAAAAAAAAGTTGCTCGTTAGCGCTGCCACCGAAAATCGTCTGGGACGATGGAAAGTGTGTAAGGTAAAAAAGCCTGGTCTATACGTTTTCGATATAAGTTATTGATAAATGTGTAACGAAGCAGAAACCGTATATATATAAATTTAACTATAAGCTATAATTTTGTATTTACTTGGATTGGCATTTGTAGTAAGCCATGTACAGTATAAAATATTTTCGATTATAAATTAAAATTTTTTTGCTATATAAGATAAAAAATTGTCTACGGTCAATAGGAGAATGGTTGAGTTTGGACAAGTCGTTATTGGGGCTCCAGGATCCGGAAAAACAACATATTGCATAGCGATACAAAATATTCTTAAAAATTTAAATCGCGAATGCGTTGTAATAAACTTAGATTTTGCGAATGATTTAATTGCTACGGAAGACTACAGGGTACATAAGCAGGACGCTGCTAATAACGACTATATGGTTTTGGAGCCTGATATTGACGTGCGTGAACTGATTAAGCTGGAAGACATTATGGAGAAGTTTGAGCTGGGTCCTAATGGATCGTTTTTGTATGCAATGCAATATTTAAAAAATAATATCAATTGGCTAAAAAAAAAAATAAAAGAAGTCAAAGAAAAAAAGGGTAAGTTGCAGTTGTACTACATTTTTGACTGCCCCGGTCAGGTAGAGTTATACGTAAACGACAATTCAATAATTTCTATTTTAAAAGAGATTAACGAAAAAGAACATGGAATCAGATTTTGCGTAGTTAACATAACAGACAGCACTCTTTGCAAAGAACACCACCAATACATCAGTTCGCTGCTGCTAGCGTTATCGATACAAATACATTTGCCGTTTCCTTTTTTGAATTTCTTTAGTAAAAGCGATTTAATCAACGAAGAACAGCTCGACTACGCGTTTGATTATTATTTGGAAGCTAATGAATTAGACAACCTGGTCTATTTGGCAAACAAAGTTGAACCTACTGACGACGAAAAAACTGTTAAAATTAAAAAAAAATTTTTCGACTTGGAAAAATCGATTGTTGAAATGGTGGAGGACTTTAACTTAGTTGGATTTGTACCAATCAGCGCGATAAAAAACGACCAACTACTGAAAGCAATAAAATTAGTTGATAAATCTGTAGGTTATTATCTAAAAGATAGCGTCCAGCCAAACCAAGAAACAGCAAAAAGTGATTAACTAAAATAATCATCCATGAACGCCGTTAGTTGTTTAAGCGATTCAAATTTGAGTCCGGTTTCAATTAAATAAACGATTTCTTTGATTTTAAACAGCGTTGGAGCTGTGACATAAATGTACCCATTCATGCCTATGCTGAGTGTAAATTCAAACCGCTTGGTGAGCAAGAACAAAATTGTACAATTCTCCGACAACAACATTTTGCAGTTAATTAAGCCTATGTATTTCAACACTCCGTTTTCAAGCGGGCCTAGATATGTTTCTCCAGTGTCCCAACCAACAGATTCACCGCTAGTGCAGCATGAAACCTGTAATTGTAATTTATTGACACAAAAAGAAACTCCACACATCACAACATCCCCTTGTTTCAACTTAGGGTAGTGCTGCTTTGTCGCTCTGGAAAAAGCATTAAAAGGGAGCAACGCTGGAGATGAGTAATTAATGTCCAACAAGTACGCGTCAGTAGTTTTCTGCGAGACAACTCCTATGATAACATCATGTAGTTTTGGAAAATACTCATGACCAATTGTTAAAAAAGAGACTTTTTTAATGATGGGTTTTGGCAGAATTATCGAAAGTATGTCACAATGTTCACAATCGCCTGGAAAAACTATTTTTGCTTCATCTGACATCTAGTAAAAAACTTTAAAAACACGAGCATTCAATAAGTTATGACTATTTTTTGTGTTGCTTCAAAATAGGCGATAATATAACTTATAAATTAAAACATTATATTATATTACAAGATAAAATATAATTAATAATATGCTGCAGGACGCGAAGTTTTGAGCAATTTTGCCGTAATTATAAATAAATTATTTTTGGGCTGATATTTGTAATTTTCCGCACATAATTGTTAAAATAAAAATATAATTATTCGATCTGTGTGTTCAGTTGTAGCGAGCAGTTTTACCAGGCGAGATCTATTTTTATTATAAATATTTCAAACAGAGAAAACCATTTAATTTTCAAGATTATTTAATATTGATCAGATTCCAATTTACAAATGGTTAATTTGAATATAAAGCGAATCCAAGTCTTGGCAAATGATGAATGCGTATTTGCGGCGGATTTTGACGCAGACTGCCAGGTAAAGGACGTTATAAATAGTATCAAAAAGGAAAAAAAAAAGGATTGTAAATTTAGTTTAACATTCAATAATATGAGAATAGCTGAAAGCCGCATGCTGAAGCATGTGTCTGATAAAAACGATATTTCGCTGCACCTTCGATATTTACTGGTAGGAGGTATGCAGATATTTGTAAAAACATTAACAGGTAAAAATATTTCGCTTGAGGTAGAACCCACTGACACAATTGAAAATGTGAAAACGAAAATTCAGGATAAGGAAGGAATTCCGCCTGATCAACAACGATTAATTTTTGCTGGAAAACAATTAGAAGATTCTAGAACTTTGTCAGACTACAATATCCAGAAAGAATCGACGTTACACTTAGTGCTACGGCTTAGAGGAGGTATACAAATTTTTGTAAAGACCTTAACAGGAAAAAATATATCTTTGGAAGTCGAACCCAACGACACTATTGAGAGTGTAAAGATGAAAATTCAGGACAAAGAAGGGATTCCGCCAGACCAACAGCGATTAATTTTTGCTGGAAAACAGTTAGAAGATTCTAGAACTTTGTCAGACTACAATATCCAGAAAGAATCCACATTACACTTAGTGCTTCGACTTAGAGGTGGTATGCAAATTTTTGTAAAAACTTTGACAGGAAAAAATATTTCTCTCGAAGTAGAGCCAAACGATACCATTGAAAGCGTGAAAACGAAAATTCAGGATAAAGAAGGGATTCCGCCTGATCAACAGCGGTTAATTTTTGCTGGAAAGCAACTTGACGATTCGCGGACATTGTCAGATTACAACATTCAAAAGGAATCAACTTTGCATCTGGTGTTGCGGTTGAGAGGAGGATTTTAATTATTCCAATAAAAGATAAATTCAGCAGTTCTAATTTGCAATTAACGTGGCGATTTACATAAAAGACACAGGTTATACTGATGCATATGCGTTTGATGATGTGCAGCCGTCTTAAACTTTTGAAAAAAGTTTGGTAGTAGCAAACTAGCAAATTAAACCTTTACATGCTAATATTTCACAAAGTACGCAATTTAATTATTGCTAAAAAATTTTACCGATCATAAATATGGGCATAAAAAGTCAAAATTGGAAATTGTTTATTTTTTTTCTATTATATTTCGTTAATATTAAAATAAAAATTAAAAAATGAGTTCTACAACTTTTGGAGCCTTACCGTTCTCAAACGCATTTATTCATGTGTCTACTCGTACTGGCGAACATTATGCGGGAAATTTGGAAAAAATCGAGCCGAAAAATGGCAAATTAGAATTGATAAACGTTAAAATAGGTACTCTGGTTGACGGAAAAGTTCAGTACAAAGATTCTGAAGGCACTTCGCGCATATTTATTGAAGGGAAAAACATTGAAAGGCTGAGCATAGAAAACCTTTCGAATTCTGAAATTATGTTTAATTCTGGAAAAAAAATAGAAAACCAGAGCATCGGTACATACCATACCTTATCGGACGACGAAAACGAACGAAAAAAACACAATCACCAGAGTTCGATAATCAAGCAATACGACGAAGCGCTCATAAAGGAAAGCAGCAAATTCAACTTGGACTCGAGAACTGAGTTACGCAACGATTCGAACAAAGAAAATGACATCAAGCCAGCTTATAACAAAGATAGCGATTTTTACGACAATTTACAGGGTGACGCCGGCTCTGCGGTTGGGGCTATGATGTTCAACAAGTTCAAAGACTTAAGTACTTTTGGTAGTGCTATATCTCTGTTTAGAAGAGCAAAAAAAAAGAACTCCTTCAACAACAGGACCCCCAGGCGCTACAAAATTAAATAAACTTAATTTTTGCTTGCAAAAAAGTTTAAAAATTTAAATCTTTTTTGGCAAATAAAAAACAGAACGATTTACCTTTTAAAATTGAAGAAAACGATATTATTAGAGTTTGGACTGATAGAATTAATGTGTTACGATGTGTCCAGCTCGCCCAGAATGTGAATTACCGTCTGAAGTGTTTTACAGCAACGAAAACGCTGAAAAGTACACGAATAACAGCAGAATAAATAAAATCCAGTACGAGCTAGCCAACCGTTGCATTGATTTGCTGGAGTTGACTCCCGATGCGATTGAGAATGGAAAAATTCTAGACATAGGTTGCGGCTCTGGAATAAGTGGCGACGCTTTGTCTGAGCTGGGTGTGGCTTGGACGGGCATTGACAATTCTGCAGATATGATCGAGCTGTGCAAGCAGCGCCACATGGCGAATCCTAAAGCCGATTTCGTGCTTGCTGACATTGGTGCGAAGCAAGATTTCGAGCCTGGAAGCTACGCAGGCGCTATATCCGTCAGTTGCATTCAATGGCTCTGCCATAGTTTCCAGTCCGATCACAACCCGCGAACGCGTATACGCGTTTTCTTTCAGTGGCTATATGACGTTCTCTCGACGGACGCCAGAGCTGTCTTGCAATTTTACCCTTCTGACGACAACCAGGTCGCTTTGATCGGCAAAGCCGCCGCCAGCGTGGGCTTTTCTACTTTTTTTTATGTCGATAATCCAGACAGCAAAAAAAATAAAAAGCTGTTTTTGATCTGCACATTTGGGCGGCCGACAGACCCCGACTCTGTCATTGCGAGCGCTTTATCTGAAATGAATTCGACTGAGCACGGCCGAAAACTTAAAAACGGTAAAAAGGGAGCTCAAAGTAGGAAGCAGTGGGTATTAAACAAGAAAGAGCGCCAGCGAAGCTTAGGCAAGGTTATCAAAAACGACAGCAAATATACAGCTCGCAAACGTAAAGACAAATTTTAGTGAAAAATAAATAAATAATTAAACAGTTGTAGTTTTGATTTATATTTCTGGTAATTCCAAAATAATTGTAGATACCGGTGCAGTCAGAAATTTTTTATTTTGGATTTATTTATTTGAAAAATAATTTGGTTAAAATTGATTTTAATATTAGACAAAACACTTTTATTATACCACAAATTGTTAGTGAGTACAACTTTACTAGATGGTAAGTTCGCCCAGCAATGAGTACATTATTTTAGACTGAAAAAACTGCCGTTAACCGTGCTCAAAAAATCATCAATTACAGGGGTGTTCCTGTGACTGATTTAGTCAAGAAGCCATTGGAAGAAGTTGTCAAGCTTCTCCCAGCAAGAATGCGAAGAAAGTTCGCCCGAGGCCACATTGAAGAAACCAAGCTTAAGAGATTCCTCAACAAGCTTCGTAAGGCCAAGGCTGAGGCTCCCGCAGGAAGTCGTCCCGCCGTAGTCAAGACCCACTACAGAAACATGGTCGTGTTGCCCGAAATGGTCGGCAGCATCATTGGGGTTCACAACGGAAAGGTTTTCATGCCGGTCGAAATTAAGTCTCAAATGATTGGTCACTACCTCGGTGAATTTTCCATTACTTACAAACCTGTGAAGCACGGTAAGTATTTGTCAACCATCGAGAGAGTCACCAACGGTAAACTATACAGAGCAGATTACTAAGCGAAGATCGTTGTTTTTTTCTATAAATGCTTTTTGTAATTTATGATTGGTTTTACCCATAAACTTCATTATTATTATAACAGTTGTAAATATGTATTGTTAGATTATCCAGGGTGAGCTGCCAAATGTGACATTCGCCCGTAATATTGATCGTATATGCATAACATGAAAGCTCACTACGTCAGACAGCGAGTTCAGCTACGAATGGGTTATCGCCATCGTTTTGACGACATATTTTATTTCTAAATACAAAATAAATTCTTTAAAATTAAATCAATCTATGTCCTTTGTTCATCTGGCATTTAAATAATAACTAAATATGCAAGACGCGAATCCTTTTATGTACCGTATTGAGAGTTGGGACGAAGATTCTCAAGACACGGGGTCTGACCTAAAAGAAGAGTTGCAAATCCAAGATACTGAGCTAAGCATTGAAAAAGCTTCAGATATAAGCGAAATAACGTATTCCAAACAAGTTGACTACATCGAACACGACGATTACGCGTCCAACAGCGACTCATCGCTCGAGTACAACATAGAAACCAAACCTTTTTACAACATGGATTTGTTCGAGTCGCCTACTGCTGAAATAATCATCGTCCACTCGTCTCTGCACTCGTCACCATTTCAGATCTATGATTACCAAAAGATCATCCAGTTACTGATATGCAAACAAGCCACTTGGTTCGATTTGGACCTGAATACAGACTTTTCCAACGCTGCGGAAACCAAGAACGAAGAATTGTTACAAAAGATCCCAGAAAAAGACAGAGACGCGATCCCCACCGTGTTGATTGACGGCTTTCCAATAAAATCATTCTTACACCTACAAGAGCTCGAAAACATTTACGTTCTAGACGAAGTTTTATCGCAAAAATGTTGCGTCAACCTCAAGTGTTTGTATAAAAGAAACAAAGAAGAACCATATGGTAAATGCTACAAATGTAATTACCATTACAAATACTACGTCACTGAAGACTTGTACGACAAAATTCCGATTCATGGCTGGTCTTACTACGTCCGCGAATGAAGCTTACATGCTATTAAACTGGTGTGTTCTTGTGCAAAGATTTGCATATTCTCTATCCATAAAGTCGATAAACAAGGTTTTGTCGCTGTTCGACATTCCACTTATCAGAAAGTCGCGAGTTTGCGGAAATGTCTTTTCAATATTTAGTAAGTCTACCGTGTCATAATCTATTGTTGTTAACTCATTCGATTCAAATAAATCGGAGGGCTCGGCGAAAAATATCGCTTTGACTATCGCTTGTAGTGTGGCAACATCAATAGGTTCAGATATTTTTGGTCCGTATACGTTTTTCATTAGCACGTTCAGCAAAACGTCAATCGTCAAACACGTGTTCGCCGTCAGTTTGACCGCGTACTGCAAATCTGAAAGCGTGAAATTATAATGCATACTGAAACCAATTGGGGTAAAACGCGATCGGAAGTTTAGTATGCTTTGTAGGACACAAAGTTTTTTGCAGACAATATTATTTTGCTCACTTGGGGTTAAAATGCTTAATCCAAGTTTCGTATATTCCGCAATTGACAATTCTTCTTTATAAAATATAGGTAGAAAACAGTCCTCCAATAGTGCAATACTAAGCTGTCGTTTCTCCGTAATTAAAATCACCCTCACATTGTTCGATTGAACCAATTCGTATAAATAGTTTGAGATAGTCTTGTTCACAAGATGAAAATGCTGTATGATCAAGTAAGTCTTGTACTCCGCATTGGTGGGAATCGTCAAATATTTCTCAAGTTCGCTTTGCAACTTTGCATTTGTAAACATGTCTCCCGCTTGCAGAAATTTAATAGTCTCGTTTTCATGATTTTTTATAAACCGGTCTGTAAATATCTTCTCGACGTTTGTGTCATGAAAGTTTAAAATCATGAGCCCCATGTCTTTGTCCAGTATATTTTCGGCCATGAAATCGATAAAGTCATTTTGTGAAACGACCAAGTTTTGATTCTCTATCAGGCTTAGGTTTTGAGCAAAGAGCCTTTCTGAAGTCGCCTGCGAACTGTTAACTCGGAAAATTGCCTCGACGAAGTTGACGAATTCCGTAGCTCGCGTCTCGAGCCCCGATCTCAATTCTTTGTACCATGATTTGTCAGCAAAAGCACTGACGATTGACACGAAGCAGTGAATCCAAACTGCTTGGTTGTTTTGAAAATAATAAACGCAAGTCAAAAGATGTGTACTAAGTTCTTGAAGAAATTCAAAACAACATTTCGACAAGTTTTCCGCTGAAACGTCGGAACTACTGGTTAAATTATTAACAAGGAAAGTAACAAGCTTAATAAAAAATTCCAAAATGACGGTTTTGTGCTTAAAAAATTTTTCGAACTCTGCGAAGATACAACTAACAGTTTTCGTGAGAGCTCGCAATAACTCTAGAGAAGCCTGATTTTCCTTGGTTTCCTGGTCAATAGTTGTTAAAATTGCGTTCTTGCTAGCTATGTTCGAATTCAACTTCCTCATTATAATAATAAGGTTCTTATATTCTTGATTAACTAAATCACAAATGTCGTTATTCAAAAACATTGACAAAAGAGAACTTCTGAGTTCGGTGATTTCGTTATTCATGTTTAGTAAGCTTGTGTGGCTGATTTGTAGTTTGTGTTGAGTTTTGCATAAAAATTTTTCTGATATTATATTCAGAATCATTTCATCCATCTGAGAGCTAGATTCAAAGTAATTTATGACAGATATATTGCTTTGGAAGCAAGTTTTATTAATAAGGACGTTAGTTGAACGGGCACGTAGTACGTAATTTTGGAAGTTATTGTTGTTTCGTTCGTTTTTAATCCTTGCAGTTTCAGCATTGTCTGCGGGTGTGTAAAGATAATCATCGTTTGCCAGAACATAATACAAGATTGTAGGAAACTCGTTGTGCAAATTTATAAGTGCAGGTATGTTAAACTTTTTACACATTGCTAAATTTGCTTCAAAGTTGTTGGCGCTTGCTGCCAATTCCTTGTATGATTGTGTAAATCTGTTTACCAATAACTTGATGTGGTCGTCCGCTTGGCTGTGACGATAAATCAGCATGGGATACTGAGTGACTTCGTTTAATAAAATTGAGTTTTGAGTTTTGATTTGCTTTTTAGGCGCATGTATCGCGGTGGAGTAACGTTTGTCTTCGGTGAGTGAAACGTACAATGTGAGGAGTTCGTTTAATGAAGTAATTGCGAGAGGACCGCAACAGGACTTAATGTAAGTCAGTATTGTTTCAAAAAGCTTTTCTCGCTCCTCGGCCTCGAAAATACCGAAATAAGACGTGAATGCGGCAAGTAGGATCAAGTAAACGCTCTTAGACTGGTTCAGAGACTTTAAGCTTTTCAATTCTAAATACCAATGCTTAGATTCTTCTGTTATAAATTCAATTATAGTTTCCGACCTTTTGAGCGAATCTTCAGTCTTTTTTATTTCTGCCTCAAACCTTTTTATTTTGTCAAGAAGTTTTATGTAGTTAGCTTGATATTCTTCACGTTTTTGTTGGGCATTTTCAATGATTGCTCTGTTCAAGTCGAGTTGGCTTTGGTACTGCTTCTTTATACCATTGGCTTTTGCAATTTTTTCGTCAATAACTGTTATTTTATCGTTTAAATAACCAAAGTTCAAGATCGCTGTTATCCACTCATATAATGCAACCGCTATCGCACCGGCGTTTTTGATTCGTTCTTTATTCAGCTTTTGTTCAGCCATTTCGGCTTGAATTTTTGAAGCGAGTTTTGCTGTAATGTTGTTTACATTGCACGCTTTTACTTTGTTTGCAAAATAGGATACGGTATGTGTTCGTACCTCAGCCCATTCTTGAATTTCCATATTTGAAGTTACTATTTGAACTGCCCATGTAACTAAACTTTGGATCAAGGATGAAGGCTGTTTGAGCGTCTTGACCTGGTCGATTTCTTTATAGTGCTGATCTATAAACATTTTGGATTGTTCAAACATGTCCACGAGAAGGGCTTTTTCTTTGTTAATGTCTTTTAACTCTTTGTCATTATCGTGTAGCAACTTTTCCAATTCTTGCGTCAGATTCTGAGACTCTTTTTCTGTGTTTATGATCATGGTTTGTTTTTCAGTTATCTGGCTGAGGTGTTCGTTTGCAAAGGACTTCTCAAGTTCGATGGCTTTGCGTTTTAAATCTAACTCTTGCTTCAGATTGACTATAAGTTGATTTGTGTCATTAATGATAGTGATCGCATTGTTTAATTTCTTCAGTTTTTTATCGCAGGAATCAGTCAGTTTACAGAACATTTCGTTGAGCTTTTTTAAAAATTGGAAATAGTTCTTTAGAGTGA